AATGAGCAAAAGGGGCGTGGTTTCCTAGGGACACGCCCAAAATGGGTGTGGCTCAGGACCCCACCCCAGTGCTGCCTGCGTGGGAGGGGCGGTGCTTGCATATGCCACGCCCAACGCGGGGAAAAGGGGCGGGGCCAATGAAGGAGGCGGGGCATGGCGAAGATGGACCCCTGTAAGGGGTGTAATTTCTAAAATGACACGCCCCCGACATGACTATAAATGGAAAGGGGCGTGACCGCAGGGTGGAGGCGGGGCTTGTGGGCACCACACCCACAGCAATGGGCGGGGACATCGCTTTGTGGGCGGAGACTCCTTTAAGCCACGCCCCACCCTCCCCCCGCCCCCAGCGGCTGCCAACTGGAGTGGGCGGGGCCAGCAGAGAGGAGGCACCAGAATGGGGTGGGATGAGTCCGTAATGAGGCGCTTCATTTTAATTAGCGGGATCCCCCTTAATTAGGGGCTCATCTGCATGAAGGGGAGGGGTTCTCCTGCCCGAGGACCCCTCCCACAGACACACACGCGGCGGAGGGGGGGACAGTGTGACAGCAGCTGGGAGAGTCCCCGCTGGGGACACCTCCCGATTGTGGGGGTGGCAAAGGCCGTGATTGTCCATTCCAAGGAAGGCGTGTCCCCCAAAATCCCACCCCCGCTAAGGGATGGGGCCCCGCGCCTTCAGGTCGGGGGCCGAGCGCTGGCGGCGGACACGGGGTGGGGACCCCCGGTCCAGGGACCCCCGGCGGGGACGCCCCGAGGGAGGGGGCGGCGAGGGCGCGYTGTTTTCGGTTTGCGGAGAGTCCCCGCCGCTCCCCCAGGCCAGGCGGTGCTGGGGGTTACTCTTGAAGGGGAAGCGCAGCTTGGAGTCCTGGGGAGCCGGGTGGAAGCGAGGGGGTCGGCGAGGGGGCTGGGGGTGCTGCGGGCCACCCCCTCCCATAAGCCGGGCTTGCTCCTGGCGCAGCCACCGCAGCCGCCCCCGCCGGAACGCCGGGTCCTGCTCCATCAGCCGGCAAAGCCGCTCCGCTGCCGCCGAGGGGGGCGAAGGAGGGGGAGACCCCCGGTCCATGTCGGGCTGGGCGGCCTCCCGGGAAGGTTCTTGCAGGGGTGGATCGGCTTCATCGCCATCGTCCTGMGGAGGGAGGAGGGGTAGAGGAGTCTGGGTGGGCTATGGGACAGGAAGGCAGTGGGGTTCAGGGTAGGAGGGACATTTGGGGGTGTCGGGGTAGGAAGGGGCAGATTTGAAGGGCCAGAGACAGCTTGGATCTATGTTAGGGGGTTCTGGGGGCGGGTGAAACTCCTGCCAGGGTCTGGTGGGGATGGCTCAGGGGTGCTACGGGAGGTTGTGGGTCAGGCCGTGGGTGCCACAGGAGGGCAGAACCCACACCGGGGGCTCTTTGGGGTGTTCTGGGGGTGCCCGAGGCCATGGCTCACCGGCAGCAGCGGGATGACGCGCTCCATCTGCCCCACGCGGTCACGCAGGGCCTGGATCTGCTCGTCCTTGGCGCTGTTCTGCTGCTTCACCTCGTGCAGGATCCCCGCCAGCCTGTCCAGGTGGAGCCGCAGCCCTTCCACCTCGCTCACCCGCTCTCCAGGACCRCCACCRCCRCCRCCACCGCYRCYCTCGTCCTCTTCACCGCCACCCACGGCATCCCACACGTCCCTGGCCACGGCTCTCCAGCCATCCCGCTCCGTGGGCTCGCGTTTGCCGTGGCGCCGGCACAGCTCCCGCAGCCGCGCCAGGCTYAGCGCCTCCAGCTCCCTCCTCGCCGGCCGCGGCTCCCGCAGGGCGACCTCCAGGCTCAGCTCCCGTACAGCCTGAGCCTTCAGGTCGGCCATGGTTACCCACGGGGACGGGGACGGTGAGGACGGGGTCGGGGATGACCCCCGACGGCGCTGCGGGATCTGATAAACTCGCAGAGGCTCCCGGCGTTTGCCCGGTACCGGCAGCCCGGCCCGGCGCAGCACCGAGCGCACGGCGGGTGCCGGCAGCGCCTGGCGGAGCGACGAGATCAAGCGCCAGCCGGCCTCGTAGCACCGGGGGTCATTGGCGGCGGGGGGCTGTGGGGGGACACGGGGGACACTTTGAGAGACACGGGGGACGCTTTGAGAGACGTGGGGGGAC